TCTAAACCCTACACTATGGTTATTTGTTTAAATGGTCAATTATCTTATAGAGAGATTTAAATAATAAGAATCAGATATTAACCCAGGTAATTACCCTTTCCAGTGTTCTTTTGTTTCTTTGTGAATATCCAGGTTTCCATCTGGTATCATTTTCCTTCTGCTTGAAAAGCTTCCTTCCGCGTTTCTTGTTGTGGGTCTGCTGGTCATGAATTCTTTTAGCTTTCGCAGTCTAAAAAGGTCTTCGTTTGTGATTGCTTTTTGAAAGATTTTTGCCACATACAGGATTCTAGGTTGACAGTGGTTTTTTCTTTCACTACTTTAAAGATGTTGCTCCAGTGTCGTCTTTGTTGCATTATTTCTGATGAGAAATCTTCTGTCTTCCTTCCTTTGTTCATACATAATGTGTCATTTTTCTCTGGCTGCTTTTAAGATTTTCTCTTTATTGCTGTTTGGAACAATTTGATTATATGTAGTGCAGTGTATTGGTGTAGGTTTTTTTCCTATTTCTTTGTTTGGGGCTTGTTAGGCATCTTGAATTTTGCATTTATAGTTTTTATTAATTTTGGAAAAATTTTCACCATTATTTCTCCAAATATTTTTTCTGTTCCCTTCTCTTTCTCTCTCCTTTGGGAACTCCTATTATACACATATTAGATCTCTTGAAATTGTACTACTGCTCACTGATGCTCTGTTCATTTTTAAAATCACTATTCTCTGTATTTCATTTTAGAAAATTTCTATTCCTGTGTCTTCAAGTTTGCTAATATTTTTTCTGCAATTTCTGATCTGACATTAATCTCATCCAGTGTAGTTTTCATCTTTAGCAGTGTGATTTGGGTCTTTTTATATCTTCTGTGTCTCTTATTTAACTTTCTGAACATATGGAATACAGTGACAGTAGCATTTTAATGTACTTGCCTGCTAATGCTAACATCTGTGCCAGTTCTGGGTTGATTTAAATTGATTCATTATTTTCCTCATTAAGGGTTGTATTTTCCTGCTTCTTTGCATGCCTGGTAATTTTGGATTGGATGCCAGACTTGCTGAAATGTCCCTTGTTGGGTCCTGGACACTTCTGTGTTCCTGTGAATCTTCAGCTTTGCTCAGGGATACAGTTAAGGAACTTGGAAACAGTTTGATTCTTTGAGGTCTTGCTTTTCAGGTTCCTTAGGCAGCTCTGAAGCAGCGCGCAGTCCTCTCTGCTGCTGAGGCCCAAGACCCTCTGTATGCCCTAGCCAGTGCCCAGGAGGGTTTTCAGTCTGGCTGGTGGGACTGGCACTATTTCCAGTCCTGAGTGAGCGGCAGGCACTGTTACCACTAATCTTTTCGGGTGGTCCTTTCTCTGAGCTTGGTGCTTTCCTCCTCATGTGCGGTACTCACTTGAGTACTCGAGGGTGACCCTCCGTAGGTGTCTTGAGTTCCTGAGTCTCTGTGCTGCCTTCACCTCTCCAGCACTCTGTCCTGGGATCTCCAGCCGCCTTGGTCTCCCTGCACTTTCAGCCTCTCCCTTCAACTCATGGAGTCCTCTGGGCTCTACGTGGTTCCCCTCCACCCCCTCGCTCAGTGGCCTGCGAGCTCTCTCAGTGCAGTAGGCTGGGCAGTTGAAGGACTCCATTTGCTGCCTGTCTCTCGGGAATCACTGTCCTTCGTTGCCTCATGTCTAGTGACTTGAAAACTACTGTCTGATATATTTTGCCCATTTTTTGGTTCTTTCAGGTGGGAGAGTAAATCTAGGCCCTCCTGCTCCTTGTCTGGAAGCAGGAGTCTCAAGTTTTGCATATTCAAGGAAGAAAAAGAAGGATACTGTGGCTGAGTATAGTGAGCAGGGATTAGGTAAATGACCAGATTTTGAAGCCTTTAGGTCTTGGTAAGGAGTTTGGGTTTTATTTAAATGATGATCGAAAGCCTCAGTGGGTTTTGAGCAAAGGAGGGGCCGGATCTGAATTCTCCTTTAAGGCGTTTGCCTTGGCTGCTGTGTGAGAATAAACTGTCACTTCTTCCAGGGGGAGAGGTGGAGATGAAGCCCTGGTCTGGGTTGATATTGGTGGATTTGTTCTTGTGTTTCCAGTGGAGTGCTTGAAGTGGGTGGTGAGACTGGCTGTGGATGGCTCCCGCACCATTGCAAGGAAGGGCTAGGAGTTTGAGTTCTGTGTGTTAGAACTCCAGGCACGGCTTTGGGCTTTTTTCTCTCCTGCTAGCTTCTCCGTACCAAAGTTCTTCAGGAAACTTTCAGCCTCTGACTCTTAGCCCTTCCTTGCATGTGGGACTCTTGGTCTCTGATCCCCTAAACTTGATTCAGGGGACCCCCTTAACTCACTGTCTGTACTCCTTCCAGGCTATATTCCCTGGAATCAGCAACCCCTCCCCCCAACTCAGTTCTTTCTAGGGGTTTCCCTGACCTGCGGAAGTTTCTTGAGCATTGTTTTTCCCCTAAGTGTCTCAGAATCTCTCCAGGGAGCTGAGTGGAGGTGCTGCCCATGCTCCTTTTGCTTCCCCTCCAGAGACCCTTTCGGTCTTTGTTTTTGGGCTTGACCTCCTTGTCCTTTGCAGAAGTGAGACCCCTCAGCTGTTCACTGTGTTGCCAGAGAAGAGAACAGCCACTGTCGGGGGAGCCATGATGGGATCGACCCACATCTATGACATGTCCACGGTAAGCACTTGGAGGACACTGCTTTTGGGGGCTGGGAAAGGGGGCACATGGTAGGTCTTCAGAGCCTCTCTTTAGAGATGATAAGGCTCTGATCCCTTTGCCAGGTTATGAGCCGGAAGGGCCCAGCCCCCGAGCTGCAAGGTGTCGAAGTGGCCCTGGCACCTGAAGAGTTGGAGCTGGATCCCATGGCCATGACCCAGAAGTATGAAGAGCATGTGCGCGAGCAGCAGGCGCAAGTGGAGAAGGAAGACTTCAGTGACATGGTGGCTGAGCATGCTGCCAAACAGAAGGTAGGAGCTTACACGGGAACCCGTAGGGTGAGAGCCAGGGACCAAGGACTCCTTTTTCAGTGGAGTGGTGTCCTCTAGTGGTTAAGAGTCAGGGAGGAGGACTCAGTGCCTGCTGCCCTGAGCTTCCTTGGGGCTGGAAACCTTAGAAACTCTCCGGTGAGCTGCCCTCTTAAAGGATGATGAAACTGAGGCACAGGGAAGGGAAGGAGCTTTGCCAAGTCTGAAAATCTAGTTTCAGCACTTCTTCCACAGACCTCTGTGGCTGTCAGGCTGCCCACTCTTGTTTTGGGGATCAGTGAGTTGTTTAACCTGTTTTTCTCTCTCTCTTACAGCAAAAGAAACGGAAAGCTCAGCCCCAGGACAGCCGAGGAGGCAGCAAGAAATACAAGGAGTTCAAATTTTAGGTTCCCTCACACACCCAGCCCTCCTCCATTAGGCCCTTTGCCTGGACACCTGGGCTTCACACATGGGTCCCCAAGAGCCGACTCTGCCACAATTCGCAAAGGCTTCTCATTTCATGTTCTTATTTTAGACCTGTTTTGTAAATAAAGCTGTTTCCCAAGGAAAGAGATGAATATGTAACACTCCTGATCTTCCTTCCTTTCCTTTTAGTCCCCTCCTGCAAAAGGGCTAAAACAGCCTTTTTCTACAACTTCAGGGCTGCCCTAGTGACCAGGGCATGCACCTGCATCCCATGTTGCAGTTGAGACTGGTATGAAGCCAGCCAGGCTGAAACTGTGTGTTGTACCACTGCCGCCTTCCTAGGAAGGCTCTGGGAAGTGCCTCAAGGTCTGCTTTGACCTTACTACGTTGTCCTTGGGGAGTAAAAATAGCCAGCTTAGCGCCCTGGCTGTGCTGAGGAAGTACAGTGGGCTTGGGAAGTAGGCCAGGTCAGGCCTTCCTAATAGACCAAAAGAGTCCAAGTCCTTACCTGGGAGAGAACACGGCTCAAAATCGAGATGGTCTTGAGTCCGTGTGAGCTCCTGGGTGGTTAAACCAACCAGTCTCCAGGTTTTGGTGTGTGTGGGGGGCTTGCTCTCCAGGTTCTGGTTCCCCATCCCAAGAAGTCTTCCTGGCAGGCTAGACTGCACTGAACCGCTGGGTCCAATAGGCATTTTGGGAGTGCTGGGGAGAGAAGTCACAAACTGCTGTTGTACCACCGGTGTTGGTGTAAGTGCACCAACTGGGGTGGCGACGTGCGAAAGCTCCAAGATGGTTTCTGGAGGAGGGAATGTGGCAGTTGAGCTAGGCCTTGGAAGGAACAGAATTTTAGGAATTTAGTAAGTGATGAAGCAGAAAAAACATTCCAAGTGGAAGAAATTGAGGGCCAGGACGGGGGACGTGGGACTCTGTAATGGTTCTTTAGAGGAAGGGGGCGGTAGGGACAGAAAAGGAGAAAGGTGGGTTCCAGATGGGCCAGGGCTTAGCTTTATAATTCCCCCCGTGCAAGGGCATTTTGGACTCCAGGTCCCTGAGTCTCTGCCCACACTGGAGAGAAGCAGGGGCGGAAACTTCACGGCCCGGGGGCGCCCTGGCTGTGGCTGCTGGCTCATCACCTCGGTTGCTGATCGTGGCGAAGAAACCCCGGGCGGACAGCGGGGGCCAGGGGGCGGTCGGGAAGCTCGCTTGGGCCCGCTGCGGGTTCTGCCTGGGCTCCGCAAACCCGAGGGGGCCGAGGCGCGCTCCCGCCGCGCTCCCTCCCTGCCGGGGCCGCGCCCCAGAAAAGCGGGATTTCCGCTGGCCCGGCTGCCGCCGCCGGCGAGAGAACGATGGGAGAGGGGAGGACGGAGCTAGCTGGCTGCCGCCCGCGCGCAGACTTGGGAAGAGTCCGGCCGAGCGCGCGCCGGCCGCGGACCCCTCCCCGAAGAGCGGCGGGCGCGCGCCCACAGGCGGCCGGGGCGCGAGCGCGAGCCGGGGCCCCGCCCCTCGGGGCTGGGTGGGGCGGGCGCGAGCCGGGGCTCCCCGCCCCCTCCCCGGACACGCCCACCCAGTGTCTCGGCGGCGCGAGCCGCAACAGGCAGCGGCGGGCGAGCGCGAGGACCGCGCGCCGGGAGGCCCCGCGCGTGCGTGCAGCCTCTCGCTCGCTCGCTCGCGCGCTCGGGCGGGCGGGCTGAGGAGACGAGCCGAGCCCCCGCCGCCGCCGCGGGAGAAGGCTGGGCGTCTGCTCGGCGTCGCGGCGATCCCCGCAGCCCCGCTCCCCCACCCCGGCCGGGCCATGGCGGAACGCGGAGGGGCGGGCGGTGGTCCCGGAGGCGCCGGGGGCGGCAGCGGCCAGCGGGGCTCCGGGGTCGCCCAGTCCCCGCAGCAGCCGCCGCCGTCGCAGCAGCCGGCGCCGCAGCAGCCGACGCCCCCCAAGCTGGCCCAGGCCACCTCGTCGTCCTCATCCACCTCGGCGGCGGCCGCCTCCTCCTCGTCTTCGTCCACCTCCACCTCCATGGCCGTCGCGGTGGCCTCGGGCTCCGCGCCTCCCGGCGGCCCGGGGCCAGGCCGCACCCCCGCCCCCGTGCAGATGAACCTGTACGCCACCTGGGAGGTGGACCGGAGCTCGTCCAGCTGCGTGCCCAGGTGAGCGGGGGGGCGGCAGGGGACCGGGCCCTCGGGGCTGCCGGGCCGGGTCGGTGGTAGGCCCCCGTGTTCCCGAATTCCTCCCGGTCCCATCGTCCAAGGGGGCGCCCCCCACTTTAGGTCCCCCTCGCCCCCGCCGCCTGACTCCTGCCTGGTCTCCCAGGACTCCGCCTGCGGGGACCCCGCCCTCTCCTGCAGCCCCACCTTCTGCCTCCGGCCGGGACCACCCTCTTCCCCTCCCCGATCGGGGCCTCCTGGGCTCCCAGCCCTGGGCCTCCTCCGTTGATCTGACCGAATCCGGCCTTCCTGACGGTCAGTTTCCCCGCGTGAGTCACAGACTTTCCCTGCCTCGCCGGCGCCCGTGGGCTGTACATATGTTACATAGATGTGGTATAGATCGCTCTTGATATTGTTTCCCAATACACTCGGCATGTGCCAAACTCGGTTGTCACCTTCTGCCAGGTAAAGCCCGGATAGTAACCCTTGGGGCTGCTAGTTAGTCTTCCATACACATGTTCATTCGTACTTCAAATGACACGCGTTCTGTCCCGGTCTCCACGCTCTTGTAAAAGTCCTATTCAGTGTGGCTTCAGGAGTATTTCTCATTCTCTCTTTCCTGCAAGGCTCCATAAAATTACTGCCTTGTTTCAAAATTCAGTTCATTCCTCTGTCTGTTGGAACCATCTGGGGACTTTCCTTCCATTGGTAAAATATGCCTGAGTTTGGCATATTTCCTGTTTCTGTATTGGTAAGACAGTCTTCCTCCAACTCTTAGGGGACGCTGTGCAGTGTCTTACAGTTCACCCTTTGAATAGATGCTGTGGAGCTGGTTTCACCCAGTAAGCCCAGAGAAGTGCCCGGAGGTGATCTTTTTGTCACCTCTAAACTGAATTGATTCTGTTGGCTTGGAGTCTTGGGCTCACTCCTTCCTCTGTTAGCCCAGCCTTGGGCAGAAGGATCTGTAAATCGGGGTTAGGGAGCATTGTCTGGTTCCACCTTCAACTCTATTTTTCTTTTTTCCTCTCTTCGCTTTGAATTATTTCATGCATAGAAAGTTTTATGTATATATATCTCCTAGATAGGATATTAAAAGTGCCACGAGAAGTAGATTTGTATACTTGACTTAGCTTGAGAAATAGAGCGTTACCAGTTATGTCACAGCCTTCAGGATGCTCCTTCCTGACCACATCCCTTTCTTCCCCTTACAAAGGTAAACACTATTCTGAATTGTTTGTTTATCATTTCTCTTATCTTTTAAAAATAGTTTTACTACATATGTGCATCTCTAAACAATATTTTTTAGTTTGGGATTTTTTGAAGTTTATATAAATGCTATCATACTGTATGTATTCTGTGACCTATTTTAGTGTTTTTTTTTAACTCAACATTAAGTTTGTGAGAATAATCAATGTTGTATGGTAGCTCTAGTTTCAATATTTTCACTAATGGATAGAATTTCATCGTATGAATATATCATAATTCTCCTTTTCATGAGCTTTGGCTTGTTTCCTGGTTGTGAACATGAACAGTAAATATTTTTGTCTGGGACTCCTGGTGCTCCTTGCAAGTTTCTTTAGGACATCTTTATATGTAGAGGTGGAATTGCTGTTCACAGGGTATACATCTGGAACTTTTTTAGATAGTGCTCGATTGTTTTCCAGTAGGCCCTCTCTGCTCTTCATGTCTTTTGTGTTTCGGCATTCACTTCACTGACTTAGACTTTCTTTCTCTCTCTCCTTTCTTTAGGGTAATCAGGAGCCACGTTAGTTTGGTTTGGTTTGGCCAGCACCCTAGCACAACACCAGACTCGAGTAGGAGCCGAGTATGTGATGGCGTTGCTCTCTTGGTCCTAAGCAGGCCTCTCTTTCTCTTTCTATCTAGGCCCAGCTATAGCTGAAGGACTCCAGTCTCCCACTTTCAGACATAAAGCTCTGTGTCCCTTCCTGCATGGGCCAGTGTTAGTAAAGTGTGCTTGCCTGTCCTTCCTGCACATCCATCACTGTGTTGGACTGTTGACATTTGGACAGCTGCCCTCTCTAGCTTGTTAGATTGAAAAGGCATGAGCCTACTGGCAAAAAGCCACTGGGTAACAGAGGGGAATAAATTAAAATCACTGATTGCTGTTGATTTTTGGTCTGCCCCTATTGGTCACTGAAAAGTCCACATAATAAATTGTTAGCCCAAGAAACAGCCAGGCATCCTGATCAAATCAGGAATTATGCTTACTTGGCATGAGAGGCTTAGGCTGGCTGGTTGTTTTCATCCGCAGGGAGCATGCAGTTATGTCGTGTCTACTGACCAGTCCTTGAGATTGTCAGCTGTCCTGCTCTGACTTTGTTTTTCAGCCGTCAACCTTGTACCTCCCAGCTCCTTGTGGAACACTTGTGTTCTTTGGAGCATGCTGTTTTATCTGCAGGATGGAAAATAACACCCTGTGGGGAGAAAATGGCCCGCTATTGGCCCTTCCAATTATTAGAGTCATCCGGTTGATTTGAGGTCTCCTTGGTGTTGTTCATGTTTAGAATATATTGGCAACATGCACTCTGTATACAGTACTCTGTACATAGTCTAGAATTAACATTTTGTCTTGTGTAACTCAAATGAGACACAAACATATGACATATATGTACTTAAGAAATGTAAACCTTATTTTGAATCTAAGGTTAGAGATACTTAAAATGTCATGGGATTCAGTCTTGTGAAAATGTGATCTTCTACCTAGTGCAGAGAATTGAAAGTTGCGTGATAGGAAAGTCACACTCCTTTTCTTGATTCCGATAGAAATATAATTGCTTTTGAGAAAAAAATCCTTTCCCTTTATTAGATATTTAAATATACATATTCTCAAGTATGTACTCTGCTCTTATTTAATATCTACTAAATTCCCTCAGAATCCGTAGTATTTTTTTTTTTGAGGAAGATTAGCCATGCGCTAACATTTGCTGCCAATCCTCCTCTTTTTGCTGAGGAAGACTGGCCCTGAGCTAACATCCGTGCCCATCTTCCTCTACTTTATACGTGAGATGCCTACCACAGCATGGCTTGACAAGCGGTGCCATGTCTGCACGAGGGATCCGAACCAGTGAACCCCAGGCCACCAAAGCAGAACGTGGACACTTAACCACTGTGCCACTGGCTGACCCTGTATTATTTTTTTTTAACTTTTTTTTTTTGAAGATTGGCACCTGAGCTAACATCTGTTGCCAATCATTTTTTTTTTCTCCTCCCCAAAGCCCCCCAGTACATAGTTGTTTATTGTATCTGTGGGTTCTTCTAGTTGTGGCATGTGGGACGCCACCTCAGCATGGCCTGATGAGTGGTGCCATGGCCGCATCCAGGATCCGAACCTGTGAAACCCTTGGCCGCCGAAGCGGAGCACGAGAACTTAACCACTCGGCCGTGGGGCGGGCCCCTTTTTAACTTTTTATAGATGAAGAGCATACCTATAATTGGCTTTAAGATAACTAAATTGTTCTAGTCATTGCCATTTTTACCAGCATTTTTTAATAGAAAGATTAATACATATCCATGATTAGAAATTCAATCAGTACAGAGGGGTGAACATTGTAAAGGAAAAAAGCCCCAGTCTTATCTCTTTTCTTACTCCCCAGAGGTAATCACTGTCAAAGATGGTTGGCTTTTAAGAGTCTGTTACAAGCAGGTAGGTCTATTATAGTTCCTTTATGAAACTCACAGCTTTAGAAGTTGGCATTGTTTTCCCTCCATGCTCCGTGGCTTCCTCTTCTATGGTCCATGGATTGGATAGTGGTGTGGTGCCATTGTAGGTACCAGGTGGCATGTTGCTTGATGTTAAGGGAAGGGTTTTATAGTCTCATTATTGCTCCCTTGTCTTCGGTCTTTGTATGTGAAATTTTCCTTCATGTTCTTTTCTCTTTCTGAGTTGCTTAAGTAGGAGAGGCAGAAAAATTATTAAATTTCGTAGGAGTGCAACATTTCCGCAGTGGCACAAAACTAATTATTAGGAGACAACATGTGCTCTGCTGTATCACTCACAAACTATGTCACATTTGTCTTTGAGTACAAAGCACATTTGCATATCCTTGTCTGTATGTGAGCTTAGGGAAGGAACTCAGTGATATCAATCACATTTAAAAAAAAATGGGTACTGAAGTTAAGCCTTATTGGACTGAAGTGTTGGAGCCAAAGGAGGTGGCCATGGCTAGGTTGGCATGACACACCTGCAGTAGAAGTGTCACTTTCATGAAAACACTTGGGGACAGTTGCCCCTCTAACCACAAAAGCACTAGACAGGCCAGGATCTGTTTCTCTGTGTTCTTATTGCCTGCTAGGGCGAACTCTCCCACACCTTAGTTTTTCATCCGTTGACTGGGAATACTTTTACTTACTATCCATTCTAAGATGTGGGTGAAATAAATATAAAATAGGACCGTAGACCCACAGGAGAGAGTACTTCTTAAATGATAGATATAAAGTAAATGTAATTAATCAAATAAGAGAGACCTGGTGAAACTTCTATTCTGTCCCTAGCATTAAAAGTCTTAAAGGGGCTGGCCCCATGGCCGAGTGGTTAAGTTCTCTCACTCCGCTGCAGGCGGCCCAGAGTTTCGTTGGTTCGAATCCTGGGCGCAGACATGGCACTGCTCATCAAACCACGCTGAGGCAGCGTCCCACATGCCACAACTAGAAGGAACCACAACGAAGAATATACAACTATGTACTGGGGGGCTTTGGGGAGAAAAAGGAAAAAATAAAATCTTAAAAAAAAAAAGTCTTAAAAGCATATTTGTACCTTAGAACATTTGAATTTCACATTGTGAGTGTTGTAAGAGAATCTCCTCTCTATCGGGGTAATAGTATCTATCGTCCCTGTGGGAGCTCAGATTCCTTAAGTCAGAAGGAGAATGACTTTCACAGAGTCTGTTTCACATGTATTGATTTACAGATCTTTTGGCCACGTTAGTGGTTATGTGATTTCTTTTTAAACTAGTTTTCCAATTTCGTAGCTGAGCCAATAAGCT